GGCACACGGAGCCAGGTATTTGAGAGAACGGAGGGGGAGGTGGTGAGAAGTAAGGAAGAAATATAAAGAAGCAGAAAAAAGCAACACCAGCAGCCAACAAATGGCACTCAGGGAGCTGGCCAGTGCGGGCAGGTGGAATCCAAGCAGCAATGGGAAGAAGCTCGTGCTTCCTGGCCAATAGACTGTGGCTGCAGGAAGCAGAGGAGGCTAAATGGGGGTGAAGAAGTGTGGGGGCTGGGAAAGCCTATATCATGGGTTACCCGTTGTTCTGTCTCCTGCTGGAATCTCCGTGAAGCTGCTTTCTTGTACCTCCTGTTCACTGATCTCTGATAGGAGTCCAAGATGGCAGATCTGTGCTGCGGTAGCTGTTAGACTTCTGCATGTATCTCTCCTCACGCTCTGTTCTCGGTCAGTTTCTTATTCCATTCGGTGCTTGGCTGAATTCTTTATCTCTTCATTTGATGGTTAGGGTTTCAGGATTGACGTGTAACTCTGTTTGACTTAGTTTTTCTGATCTTTGCTATGGAAGGATGGCATGGTGCTTCTGACTATAGCGCCATGTTGCCCGGAAGTCCCTTTGAAATTTTCTGTTCAGTTCTTTTACTTGATTTCTTCCTTTTGCTTTAGCTACTCGACATTCAAGAGCAAGTTTCAGAGTCTCTTCTGACATCCATTTTGGTCTTTTCTTTCTTTCTTGTCTGTTTAATGACCTCTTGCTTTCTTTGTGTATGATGTCCTTGATGACATTCCACAACTCGTTTGGTCTTCAGTCATTAGTGTTCAGTGTGTCAGATCTATTCTTGAGATGTTCTCCAAATTCAGGTGGGATAGACTCAAGGTCGTACTTTGGCTCTTGTGGACTTGTTCTAATTTTCTTCAGTTTCAACTTGTACTTGCGTAGGAGCAATTGATGGTCTTTTCTGCAGTCGGCGCCTGGTCTTGTTCTGACTGATGATATTGAGCTTTTCCCTTGTCTCTTTCCACAGATGTAGTTGATTTGATTCCTGTGTATACCATCTGACGAGGTCCATGCGTATAGTCGCCGTTTACGTTGTTGAAAAAAGGTATTTGCAACAAACAAGTTGTTGGTCTTGTAAAATTCTATCATGCAATCTCCAGCATTGTTTCTGTCACCAAGGCCGTATTTTCCAACTACCAATCCTTCTTCTTTGCTTCCAACTTTCGCATTTCAGTTACCAAACCCGTTGCCATCGAGTTGATTCCAACTTGTAGTGACCCTATAGGACAGAGTAGAACTGCCCCATAGAGTTTTCAAGGAGCACCTGGTAGATTTGAACTGCCAACCTTTTGCTTAGCAGCTGTAGCACTTAACCACTACACCACCAGGGTTTCCATGCCAATCACCAGTAATTATCAATGCATCCTGATTTCATGTTCGATCAATTTCAGACTGCCGAAGCTGGTAAAAATCTTCAATTTCTTCATCTTTGGCCTTAGTGGTTGGTGCATAAATTTGAATGATAGTCGTATTAACTGGTCTTCCTTGTAGGTGCATGGATATTATCCTATCACTGATAGCACTGTACTTCAGTATAGATCTTGAAATGTTCTTTCAAGACAGCGAACATTTCGAGACAGTGTCATTATTACACAAAATTAAGAGTAATTCCTTGACATCATCTAATATTCAATCCATATGCCAATTTCTCAGATATGTGTTTTTTGACCCTCTTCCCAGGCAATGGATGAGTTCCCTGCTCAGCTACTCTGGTGCCCCAGATTCACTCCCCTTCACTGAACACCTCCTGTTGCTGTGCTACTTGGGTCTGGGGTTTTCCTTAGGGACTGAGCATTCTTCCTAAAACCTGTGTTATGGCCTGCCAGTTTCCTTCTTTGGGAACTCTGTTTGCTAATATACAATGACCAAAGTTTTAAAAGCATGCACTTTGTGTCTGAGCCCCCACCTTCCTGCATCTCTGCCCAAAACTTTAGCCTTGGGGCTAGGACAGTAAACAACAGTCCAGCCAGGAGCCCTGGAAAATTGGCCCTGCCTCTGGTTGGCAGCCCAGGTGACCTTGATGTAGACATTTAAAAGGAGTCTCTTCCGTGTGTGTGTGTGTGTGTGTGTGTGTGTGTGTGTGTGTGTGTGTGTGTGTGTGTGTGGTCAGAGAGCGAGAGAAAGCTACTGAAAAATCTAGGCACAGCTAGGGTTACTTCAGGGAGAGGCCTAGGGAATCATGCTTCCCAAACTCCTCTGGCTTCTCCAGACATCTCCTTCCCAATTCCAGGATCCCACTGCTTTTTTAAATTGTGGTGAAAATGTAGACAACAAAACATACACCAATTCAACAATGTCTACATGTACAATTCAGTGACACTGATTACATTCTTAAGTTGTGCAACTGCTTTCGCTGTCCCTTTTCCAAATTATTCCACCACTATTAACATGAACTCACTGCACCCTAAGCAAAAACTTCTTCTTCCCTCCTCCCTCCCACCCTGGTAACCACTAATAATTTTTGGTTTCTATTTTTTGCTTATTACATACAGTATTTGTCCTTTGCAGTTGACTAATTTCACTCAGCATTATTTCAAGGTTCATCCATGTTGTGGCCCACTGTTTTTTAAACCAGCATATTAATTGGGCTGTGCAGTTCAGCATAGTGTGTGGTTATCTGACTCAATGTCCCCAGTGCCTGGCTACAGCAGAAAGGGCTTCCCTTAAAAAAACAGACAAAGCTCGGTCCTGCTCTGCTGTCACGATCGCCTTAGGTGTCTCTCTCTCTCTCAGCCCCTCACTGGAGGCCACAAGAAGAAGTAAACACATTCCATCCTGACATTTTTCTATGAAGTCCCAAGCTGCTGGTGGAGTCTGAACCCCAGCAGACAGACAATACATGACCAACTTCTTCATGACCAAATAGCAAGTACTGCCAAGTACCCAGCCTGGGATGGGAGAAAGATCATCTCAGCCCGGTGCCCCACCCCTACTCAGACAGTACAACATAGCAGAAGCCGGCACTGTAATGCTCAATTCCAAATTCTGTGTTAGTTAGGCGTCTGTTGGCTGTGTGTGACAGGAATCAAACTCAAAATTATTTAAGCAAAAAGGGGGATTTATTGGCAGAACGGATGTGGGTGTCTCAAAGAACAGCCTGGTCTCAGGAAAAGCAGGATGAGACAGGGCTTCATCTGCAGACCTCCTCAGAGAGGCAGGAAATGTGGCCACCGATAGCCCTGAGCTTTAATCCTCATAGAGGTAGCCCTCAGTGCTGACCACACGTTACAGTCACCTGAGGAGCTTGCAGAAACCCAGATGTCCAGGTCCACCCCAGACCAACAAAGTCGGAATCTCGGGGCGGGGGAGGAGTCTGGGCATCAGCTTCCCAGGTGATTCTAATGAGCATCCAGGGTGGAGAACCGCTACATTATAGCTTCAGGCACCCAGAGAGACTCTTATTTTAGTTCCCATTCATGATTCTAGGGGCAGGACTCTGATAAACCTATTTTGGACAAAGCCCTATGGCTAAAGGCTCAATGGGCTGTTCAAAATGGTCGTTGCTGAGGTGCCCTTGAAGATGTGCTGCGGCTGCCAGGCTGCAGTGCCGAGGGGATGATCCCACAGCAGCTCCCCACTGCTTTTCTCCTCCCATCCCAACACTCGGTTGGAGCCTGCGGATAGTCGTCTTGTCTGACTTTATCTTGGTCACATCACCTCTGAGTCAAGCTGAGGGAGAAGGCTGAGTTGTATCCAGGGGATTTGGTGACTTGGTGTGGGATGTGGTCAGAGACAGACTACCCAATAAGCAAGGTATGCACAGGCTTACTTGTGCCTACTTACTAATCTACAGTGCACAATTTCACCTGTTTTTCACATCGAAGACGTGGTGAAACTCATGTGAAATTGTGCACTACAGATTAGTAAACACAATTAAGCCCATCTGTACCTTGCTTAGTGGTTAATCTGCCTTTGGATGTGTCACCAGAGAGGTGGTAGAGGAGGCCAGATGGAGCAGGCAGAGGAGGGCGTGGGGGCCAGGGAGGAGGGACAGTTATGAACAACTCTTTCCAGGAGGTCGTTGTGCAGATGGGAGAGAGATAGGGCAGTGGCCAGAGAGAGATATGTATCCAGAGAGGACATTTGGGATGGAAGAGACCTGTGATGTGGGGAGAGGCCAGCAGGCTCTGGCTGGGGGAGACTGAGGATGAAGGGCCCTGGCCTTGGGGCTGACCTGGATTCATTTCCCTGCCTCCCTCTGGGGCCTCTCCCCCTTCTATACTAAGAGGGTGGTGCCTGGACTTCAAGACTAAAGCCCGTCCAGCTCTGACTGCTCCTCTGGTGCAGTCTCAGTGCAGCCTCAGGCCCTCCCCTCCCCTCCTTACTCGGGTTCCAGAGCTGATATAACCGGCCTCAGCAGACCTGGGGAGGAGAAGTGGTGGGGACGGCAGCAAGGGCAGAGCTAGGTGCTTCAGACCTTGCTCAGGGCAATCCTGATGCCTGAAGTTCCTAATGTCCTTCTTCTATTCCTTTCTCCCCTTAGTGAGCTCCTACACAATGTCTCTGCACCCAACTCTGATCCCGAGCACCTAGCTGGAGGGTACCCCAGAGACTGTCTCTTCCCTCAGCAGGGCTCCCAAGGGCAGACCAGATGGCTGGGGCAGGGCCGTGTCTCTCTTCAGCCTGCTCCCAGTGCTGGGCTGAGCCTCGGGGCAGCCTCCAGGCGTGGCGGGATCTCCATCATGGAGTCCCTGGTGCCAAGCCCAAGGCCAGGCTCTGGGGCAGGGGACAGGAGCCCTGAGTTCTTTCCTGCTCAGCTGTGAATGTGCTGTGAAGCCCACTCAACCCACCGTGGTTTCCCCATCTTTATGCCCAAGGGCCCCAGTAGTCAGCTCAACCTCTCTGAGGCAGCCTCACCCCAGCCACACAGGGACAGACCAAACGACACCACACTTGGGTCTGGACGCTGACTTCTCTTTCCACAAAACACCAAACAGTCTAGGTGTGGCAGGGGGACAAAGCCAGGCTGCGGACCTGGTCATTACACACCCAGGGGGCCCTTGGCGGAGGCAGACAATTTAACAACTGGTCTGAAAGTCAAAAGAGAGACAGTTGGTTAGTGGGGTGAGCAGCAGTGGCTGGGGCGGGGAGGCAGGGGCTGTGGCGCTCAGGCCCAGACAGAGAGACTGGCCAGCTCAGTCCCATCTTGGCCCTGCCCTGCCTGGGGCCCATTCCTGGGGGTGACATGGTCTGTCCTAATCCTCTGTGTGGGTGTCCAAGGCAGCACTGTGCGTACTGGAAAGACCTCTAAACCTGAAGTCAGAGGGAACCAGGCAAGTCTCTTGGTCTCTCTGAACCTCTGTTACTTCGTGTATAGTGTGGGCATGTTCGCCATCCATCACTGCCACCTCCGTAGGTTGCTGTGGGGAGTCAATGGGGGTCAGGGGGCCAAGGGCTCCGTCCACACAAGGTGCTGGGCACTCAAGTTGCTCCTGTCCTCTGGTGTATCCCTGGGGCCTGGCACATAGCAAACACTGTTCAGTGAGTGAGTAAGCGGACAGGTGAAAGGGATGGCACCTGGGCTGATGCGCCTGAGCCTGTCCACCTGGTGCTCACGAGGCTGTGCAGGTAGGTCTGAGGGCCTGGACCTGGACCTGTGCCTGCGCCATGTGGCTGGGCCCCTCCCTGCCTCTCGGTGTCTCTCTCAGTGTCTGGGCCTGGGTCTTCTATCTCAGGGTGGGTGTCTATGTGGGAGACAAGCTTCTCAGAGCCCCAGACTTGCTCAGGGACATCCTGTGCCCCACTGGCCCCAGCTGGAGTGCTTGGCAAGAGGGTCACTGGGCCGGCTGGCTGCCAGGGCAGGCGGGGCTCAGACGTACTCTCGGGCAGCAGCTGAGGGCCCGGGCCGGTAGGGCTGAGGGCTGTTGTTGGACCGCTCAGGCTCTGGGCATGTGCAGCAGAGAAAGGAGCCTCCCAGTATGGCCAGGCCGGCAGAGGCCCAGCCCACGAAGAGGGCCGTGCCGTATTCATACCTGCAAGGGTAGAGAGGGAGCCGTCAGGTGTGGTTGCACTCAAGGGGGAATGACCCAGGCCTTCTCTCACCTCTGCCCTCTCAGGGTCCCATTCCTTGCCCATGACCTCCCCAGCCTCTTCACTGGCAGAGGGGGGCAAGGTGAGGGGAGCCGAGGCTGGGGGGGTCTCACAAGCCTCCCCAGGCAATCTAGACAAGTCAAGGTGAAAGCTCAGCCTTCCTCCTCTCTCTGCCCCAGTATATCAACATCACACAGTGACCCAGGCCCAGGATGGGCCCTAGTCCCTGCTCTGTGCCACCTTGGGCAGGTTCCTGCCTCTCTCTGGGCCCATTTCCTCATCAGGCTGGTGGAGGGGTCAAAGGAGGGGCTTGAGGTCTGGTCAGGTAGGAGCAGAGCAATTCTCTGCATCCTCTTCCTCTCAGTTCCGGTATGGCCCACAAAATTCCCTGCAGGGCTCCCCACTGCCCTCTGGGGAAAAGCCAGACACCTCAGCCTGCACTCTGAGGGGGCCCTGCTGGCCTTCCTGGCCTGCCTGTGTACCTTTGCATAAAGCCCCGTTCTCCTCGGGCGTCCCCTTTCTTCTGTGCCTACTGAGCTCCTCCATCTTCCGGGCCTAGTTCAAATGTCACCTCCTCTTGAGGGCTTTCTGTGACAACCCCCACCCCAAGGAGGTTTCTGTGATAACCTCCTGCCCTGACCACTGGCTCTGCTCGAATTCACTCATTCATTGCCTGGCTTGTTTTGCTCCCTGGGGAGCACCTTGAGGGCAGAGGGGCATCTAATTCCTGTGTCCCCAGTACGAGGATCAAGCCTCATACTGTTGAGGGCTCCTCCTTTCCTCCCACTCCACAACTGTCTCCTCCAGGAAGCCCTCCTGATTTTGACAGCCCAATACCTTTTCCCATCCTCCCTCCACCCCAGGATTCAACCCTGTTGGAATGCCAGGGTTGAGGCTATTCCATCCTCTGCTCTTGGCAGGGCTGAGAGGAAGGGCCAGGCCCTTCCAGAGTCCCCTGTCCTGCCCCCAAGCCCCCAGTCTTACAAGTCCTGCCCATTCTAATCTCCTAAATGTCTTTCAACTTGTTCCTCCATCTCCACCACTACCTCCCTGGCCCCAAGCCCTCTTGTGGAGACTTTTGCAACCACCCCTTTACTGGGGGACTGCAGGCTGCCTTCCACCCCCAGGATGAGGAACCACATTCTTCCTAGGGCTGCAAGGCCCTGCACAATCTGCTTTGATCACTTCTCCACCCTCCTCTCTGACGGGAAGTAACTGCTGCCTCCTGCAGGAAGCCACCCGCTCTGCCGCCACCAGCAAAAATAACTACTAAGGTTTATTGAGCACCCTCCAGTGGTCCAGGCACTGTGCTAAATTCCTCAATGCATCTTGTCATTGAGCCCTAACCACCACTCCCTGGTGGTTTACAGGGAAGAAACCGGACACAGAATGGTTAAGTAACTTGCCCAGAGCACACAGGCAGTACCTGCAGAACCAGAATTTTAACCCAGAGCCAGGGCGCTTCACCCTCACCACTCTAGCTGCTTGGGGAGTTTCTGCTACTCCTGGGTGCCCACCGCTGGCCTCCTGCCCCTTCTGAGGACCCAGCCATACCTCAGCTGGCTCCCCACTCCAGAGAGCTTCTCAGTGACAGCACCTGGGTCCTGCCACCCTTCCCTCCAACTGCCCTGTGCAGGTCCGGCTCTTAGAAGATAGCTGGACAAAGGCCAGTGGCCCCAGAGGAGGTGGAGCAAGGAGGCCCAGCCTGCCCCCCCAGCCCAAGCCATACTCTGGCACTCACCTGGCATTGACAGGTGTGCTCGGGTTGAAGAACTCCTGGGTCACCAGGGTGGCATACCACGAGACAGCCGTCAATGTGCAGAGGCCTAAGGACAACGGAGGGGGTGCTCAGCTCGGCTCTGGCCCTGGCTATCCAGGGTGGGGGCTGCCTGCCATGGCCAAGATGGTGGAGAAGGAGTCAGGGGCACTCACCTGCCAGGAGGAAGAGGATGCCCCCAGAGATGGCCACGCGACTCTTGGCGATGGGGTTGCTGTCTCCGACCCTTGTGCACTTCATGCCGACCACACTGAGGACCATGGCCACGAAGCCCAGGAGCACGGCCACTACCATCAGAGCTCGTGCTGCCTGGATGTGACCTGGGGTGGGCGGGAGGGCACCAGGTGAGCTGCTCACTTTGTAGAAGTGGGGAGAGGCACCTCAGGGTCAGGCCTGAGGTGGGAGGAGCCCCACTAGGGGTGAGGCTTGAGCAGAAACTGGACTAGAGGTCAGACCCCTGCTGGCAGGTGTGAGGAGTTAGTGAGGAGCCCTGTGTGTGACGATGAGGGTGAGGACAGGGTTGTGGTGGGGCGATGAGAGCCCCCTTCACAATTAACCCCATTTTTCACTCCCAGTTGTGGACAATTTGGGTGGTGGGGGGCAGTTTAAGTTCTCTCTTCTAATGCTTTCGGGCCCAGGGATTCCCTGGCCTGCCCCTCCCAAGCAGCTGGGGTGGCTCCTCCTGGGGCCCTTGTGGATTCAGCAGGAAGAAGAGCTGAGGTGTCTGAGGCCCAGCTCAGCCCTGTTTGGCCCTCTGTCAGGGACCCCTCCCCTCAGCCATCTGACTCTCAGCAGCTTCCCCTCTTCCCCTTGAGTTACCCACACCTATCTGCCATGTACCTGGCTCTCTGTGGGTGCTTGGATCAGCCCTGGGCCCTGTGGGTCCCTGAGGGAAGCCTGAGGGCCTGCCTGTGACCAGTACAGCCAGGGCATGTGACAGCAGCCCTGGCTCAGGCTGCCTGCGGGACCCTGGGCAGGATGAGGATGGGTCGGCCTCCCTGCACTAGAGTTAGAGGCTGCAGTGCAGCCTGTTCAGGAGCCAACTGTCAGTCTCAACTCCACAGCCTGGGAGGAGAGGGACGTGTGTGTGTGTGTGTGTGTGTGTGTGTGTGTGTGTGTGTGTGTGTGTGTGCGCGCGTGCTGCCTGAGTGGCAGGACTGGTAAGTAGGTGTGTGTACCCAAGTGTGTGTCTGTGTATGGAGGACAGGAGAGGTGGAGGACGGGGTCTTCACTGAGCATTTCTGAGTGCCAGGTACTCTTCTCAATGGTCCCATAGCCCTGTGAAGGTCTTAGTACCCCCCCTTATAGATGGGGACAGGACAGGGGGACACAGAGGCTTAGTGACTTGTTCAAGGTTAGAGTAGCAGAGCAGGAATCTGGGCCCATGGCTGCCAGGCCCTAGAGCCCCTGCTCACGGTGGGGCACCAGGCTGGTCTGGGTGTTTTAATGTACGCAGGGGTGGTAGTGCGGGGGGAGTGTGGAGGTGGAGGCCGGAGAGCAGAGCACAGAGCTGATGCAGACTGAAGTGAAAGCTGGTTCCAGATCTCCCTGTACCCCACATTCCATGCGCCCACCCAGCCGGCCGAGGCTCACTGTCCAGGGAACCTCCCCCCCTCCTTGGCAGCCCACCGTCCAGGGAAGCTCACCAACCCCCCAACCTTGGCGGCCCACCGTCCAGGGAAGCTCACCTTCCCACCCAGCCTTGGTGGCCCACCGTCCAGGGAAGCTCGCCCCCCCAGCCAGCCTTGGCAGCCTACCGTCCAGGGCGAGCAGCGAGTCGTAGAGCTTGCACTGCACCTGCCCTGTGCTCTGGGAAGCGCAGGACATCCAGAGCCCTTCATAGAGGCCCACGGCAGTGATGATGGCGTCGCCCGCGTAGGAGGACTGCTTCCACTGCGGCAGGGCTGTGCTGGCGATGATGCCCACCCAGCCACCCAGGGCCAGGAAGTAGCCCAGGAGCTGGAGGCCTGAGTTGGCCATGGCCCAGGGAAGGGGGCCAGGGGTCCCAGGGCTCAGAGCTGGGCCAGGGTCCTTGGGAGGGCTGAGATCATGGCAGGGTGAGAGCGGCAGGGAGGTGAGGGTGAGTGGTCAGAGGCAGAGGAGGAGAGGTGGTAGCAGTAGCGGCAAAGGCAGCGGCTCTGGGCTCCAGAATGCAGGGGGAGGCCCAGGGGCTGGAAAAGGCCAGGGGCCCGCCCACAGCAGCAGCCTAAGCCAGGGCTGGGTCCCCAGCAAAGCTCAGGCCCAGCCCCTTGGGGTGGGTGTAGGGCCCATGTCCAGGTGGGTACCCCTGTCCCTGCCCTCAGGGATAGAGAAGGGAGGGGCTGGGAGGAGTGAACCTGCTTGCCCTCAGAGCTCTCCATCCAGGGAAACCCCTTGTTGAACCTGATTCAAATGCCTGGAATTCTCATCATCCCCACCCCAAGCTCCAGCCCCAGATGGTGGACTTTGCTCTTTCAAGGCTGATCTGACCCATGCGGTTTTCTGTCCTCTAACTTCAGGACAGAAACGAAAAGGAATTCTAGTTTGCAGCAGGTAAGACCAGAGTTAGTCATCAGAACTTTGTGGCAAGGGGTTTGAGGCTAGATGTGGAGACTGGGCTGGGGAGGGAGAGTTGGGAAGAGGGGATCCTGGGTACCTGGAGGCCGTGTGTGCGTAGGTATCAGGAACAGGGGAGGTCAGACCAGGAGAAGTGTACTGTGGGGTCTGTTTGAGATCTGGGCCCCCCCTCAAGGCTGGGCCACACTGGTGGCTGGCCAAGAAGGGGCCTGGCAGGGAGGTGGGGAGACAGCACTGACCTGGCATGCTTAATCCCCTTGCTGGCTGGCTTAGCAGCTCCTGCTGGGACCTGGGGCACCGTGGCCCTGGCTCCCAGCTCCAGAACAGCCTGGTGGGGAGGAGCAGCCTCTGCACATTCCTGGGGTTCAGGCTGCTCCCTATTAGCACCCCCACCTCTCCCTTCTCTCCTCGACCCCGACCCCTGCTCAGCCGTTGGTAGCAGGGAAATGTTTAACTCTCCTCAACCTTATTAGCAATCCCCTCACGTTCAGCCCCACAGGCCCCCGGTGTGGGTGCAGGAGAAATGTCACAACCCTGTTCCCACTGCCGCCAGCCCCCAGGCTGCCCCCTCCATCACCAGCAGCCCACCACCATTCCTGGGCTACACTGGGGGAAGGCAGGGTCCAGTGTGGACCCCAGCCAGCCTCCCTCCCCCACAGCACAGCCCCTCTCTGCAGGGAGAAGTCCCCAGCCTGCTCCCTGGCATTCTTCACGTGGCTATGCAAACGAGAGAGTGCCAGGCACAGAGCAGACAATGGCAGCCCTGTGTGCCCGCCCAAGGCGTGGGCCTCTGGTATGGCCTGCAGCTCCAGCGGGGGCTGAGGAGAGGGCACTCTCTGATGGGTCAGGGGTTGGTGCTCTTTGGCCTGTGGTCCCCCAGTTCTGAACTCAGGGCCCCTCTGAGGGAAGGGTGACCAGAGCCACGTGGATCTGTGGACACACACCTGTTTCCTGGGATGGCCTGCGATCCCAAAAAGCACATGGGGTCTATAACAGGTGTACAGAAATCAGTCCTGAGTTCAAATTCTCCTACTGCCGCAGATACTGACGAGACAGTGCACTCAGCAGGAGCAGAGGAGCCAGAGTGGGGAAAGACGTGGGACTCCTGTGGGCGCAGCAAGGACCTCATACCCCTGGTGCTTTTTACATATTAATTCACCAAATCCTCAAGGCAGCCCTTCAAGGTAGGCTGACCTCTGCAGACAAGAAAACCTCGGCCCAGGGAGACAGCTTACCCCAAGCTAGGAAGTGCCAGGGAAGGCTTCCCGCTCAGATCAGTGGGCTCCCACGGCCTTTCAGGAATGGGGAACGGGAAGGGAGGCATAGACCTGTCCTAGGGGTGACAGGCACCTAAGCTGACTGTGGAGCCTCAGCTTCCTCTCCTCTAATGGGGACGTCTGCTTCATGGGGTTGTGATGACATCAAGCTCATCATCGTCTGCTGGAGGGCAGGGTGCCATGCATGTGGTAGCCAGTTAGCACAGGTTGTTTCCCAAAGGACTGAGGCCCCTCCTCTCCCAGCTTGGTCCTTGGCAGGCCCCCTGCCCCGGCCGTCTGCAGGGGCTCACTCTGTAAGGAAGATCCAGGGGTCATCCCAGGTCTCAAGGAGGACCTGAGCCAGGTGTCTGCACTCTGGAGCCTCAATATCTTCAGTACCACCCAGAAACAAAGGGTCAGAGCCACATAGGCCCTCAGGGACCAAGGACTGCAACCCCTTCTGTTGATAAGTGAGGAAGCTAAGAGGGGAGGTGAGCTGCTTAGGGTCATTCAGCCTCCTCAGGGACAAGGTCTGTGGCTCTAAGGCCTTGGGGGCATCTGAGTGCCTGCTGGGCTCCTCCAGCCTACCCGCCAGAGCCCCTTTGTGATCCAGAACAATGCCCACATCTTCCTCTCCTCTGAGGCTTTTCTGTTTATCCCAGCTCTTTGTTATTTGAGGCCAAAATTGCCCCTTACTCTCATGGCTTTCCCTCACCAATGTTCCAAAGCCTTTTGGAATTCAGATCTGCTCCCCTCCGGATGCAGCTCCCTAGCCTGGTGTAGCTTCTCCACCCAGGTCCCCTCTGAGCCCAGTGGCTCCCAGACATGCAGCGAGAACTGGAAGGCTCAAGGTCCCTCCCTAACCTCCACGTGAGAACTAAGTGTGAACTGCCCTGGGGTGTCACACTTCTTAAAAAAGTGCTTTCACATACATGACCAAAAGCTGAGGGTTCTAGTTGTAGCTCTGCCACTGAAAAGCTGTGTGACATTTAGCAAGTTCCTTAGCTTCTCTGGGCCTGGCTCCTGTAATGTAGAAACATAATGTAGTTTTCTGTACGTAATGCTGAGTATCTACTGCCTGCTGGGCAACGGGCCAGGTGCTGTCTGAGCATCCCCTCAATGCTCTCAATCATCTGGGGAGGGAAGGACTGTTATCCCATCTGACTGGTGAGAAAACATACTTGCTAAAGGTCATATAATGCCAAGTGGTGGAAGTGAGTCTCACCCAGCTCAGTATGTGGGTAAAGCTCAAGCTCTTTCCATTAAACTCCTCAGTCCCCTCGCTGTATGGTGAGTCACCAGACAGGATGTGGGAGATAAGTAATGATAAAGGGAGTAGTAGCCAGCTCTACTACAGCACTTCCATTGGCACACTAACACAAGGTACTGTCTCCCAGCTTGAGAGAAATCCTTCCTTGACTTCACATCTCCCTTCAGCTCCTCTTTTTCTGCTCCCCTTTAGAGCCTAGCCCCTGAAAAGAGTAGTCCAGACCCACCACCACCACTTACTTTCCTTCCGTTCTCACGGGAGCTCACTCCAGCCTGGCTTTCCTCCACACCACCTTACCAGAACATCTCTTGCTGTAGTTCACAGTGACCTCCATGCTGCCAAACCCAGTGGCTGACTCTCAGTTCTCATCTTGCCCAACCTCTCAGCAGCATCTGACACAGTTGGTCCCTCCCTCCTTGAAACGTTCTCATGGGCTTCCAGGCCAACACTCACTCTCGGTCCACCTTCCTTCCCTCAGGGCTGCTGGACCCAGTCTCTTCTGTTGGGTCCCCCTCTTCTGGCCCTCCAATCGCTCAGCCAGGCTGTCCTCTGACTCCTCCTATATCTACACTCATCTTCACCTCCTGGCTTTGAACACCATCTACGTGCTGTTGAAGACTCCCAAGGTTACATCTCCTACCTAGACCTCTCCCTGAACTCCAGACTCACATACTTGACTGTATGATACTTCCACGTGGATGTCTAATAGGTTTCTCAAACTTAAAACATTACACGTCTAAAACCAAACTCCTGATTTCCATACTCTGCCAGCCAACGCCCCTGCTGTCTTCCCCATCATAGGGACAGGCGGTATTTTTTCCAGCTGCTTAAGCTGGAGTCCTTCTTGATGCTTCTTTTTCTCACACCCTACATCCAATCCACCAGCAGCTCCTGCTCGCTCTGCGACCTTTGTCACTACGGTGACTGCCAACACCCTGATGCAAACCGTCTTCATTTCTCCCCTGGGTTACTGCAGTAGCCTCCTCACTGGTCTCCTGGCCTCTATTCTTGTCCCCACAGCCTATTCTTGACATAAATTGTTCAGCAAGGCTTTTAAAATGTTAAGTTAGATGCTGCCACTCCTCTGCTCAAAACCATTGAAGGATTCTTGGCTCACTCAGAGTAAAAGCCCAAGTCCTCACAACGGCTGACAAGGCCCATTTCAAGACCTGACTTCATCTATGGCTCTGTCTCGCCCACCCCGTGCCATCACATTGGCCTTTTTGCTGTCCCTCCCACCTCAGGACCTTGCTTTCCTTTCTTATTTTCTGCCTCAAAGGCTCTTTTCCAAGACATCTGCAGGCTTGCACCCTCACTTTCTCCAGGTCTTTGCTGTAAAGTTCTTATTCAAGGTCTTCGTTGTTGTTAGCTGCCATTGAACACCCCCGACTCATGACGGCCCCATGTACGATGGGATCCGACCATTGTTATCTATAGGGTTTTCATTGGCTGATTTTTGGAAGTAGATCACCAGGCCTTTCTTCCTAGTCTGTCTTGGTCTGGAAGCTCCTTTGAAACCTGTTCAGTATCTTAGCAACACGTAAGCTTCCACTGACAGACAGGTAGTGACTGCGCCTGAGGTGTAGTGGCCGAGAATCAAACCTGGGTCTCCCCCATGGAAGGCGAGAGTTCTGCCCCTGAACCACCACTGCCCACTATTAGAGGTATCACCGTGAATGAAGAAGCAATTCCCCTTAGTATTCCCAATCTCTTATCCACACGTTTTATAGCATTTTTCACTCTGATACGCCTACATGTATGTATATGTAGGTACACACACATACAGTTACTTATTCTCTGTTCCCTCTACTAAAATAGAAGCTTTATGAGGGCGGGGGAGCCCTGGTGGTACAGTGGTTAAGCACTTGGCTGCTAACCAAAAGGCTGGCAGTTAGAATCCACCAGCTACTCCTTGAAAACCCTAAGAGACAGTTCTACTTTGTCCTATAGGGTCGCTATGAGTCAGAATCGACTTGATGGCAATGGGTTTTGGCGTGAGGGTGGGGGCTTGTTTTGTTCACTACCATATTCCCAGCACCTGGCACTTCGCTTGTGCTTAATATTGATTGATAAATAAATAAACGTGCAAAATTTACTCAGTGCGCAGGTTCCTAAACTCACTACCCTATAGCATCTCAAATACAGCAGGGGAGAGGGTTCAAGGGGTGTGGCCCGAGGAGCCGGATCTCCAGCCCTGCTCTTTCTGTCTCCTGGAGGCGTGCGTCCGGACACGGAGGCCCTACAGTCAGGCAGCAGAGCCAGAAGCATGTGGCCGACCAGGGGCCAACATGCCAGAGCACTGGTGACTGGCTGCTCCCTGCCAGAAAAGGATTAGTCGTAATCCCCACCAGTTATCCAGAGCTTTACAGTTTACAAAGTGCTGGCACATCCAATATTGCATCTGGGCCACACAACTGCCCCAGAAGGTGGGCAGAGTGAGGATTATGATGCCCATTATACAGATGACAGCACTGAGGCTAAGTGTCTGGCCTGCAGCTGCCTAGTGGGAGGCAGATCTGGGTCCTGAGCCGGCCTCCTCGAACTGCACTGCCATTCCATGCTGCCCGGACTAGCATTTATCAAGTGAGACTCCTGTGGAGAATAGGCATATTTCCATTCTCTGAACAAACTACCAAGTAAAAAAACCCACAAATCCTTTATTTCTTGGTTGTCTACCCCAGACACTTAAATACAGCACCACTGTCATGGGGCCACCTGTGCCAGCCCTCCGGGGTGACTCTGGGTCTGCGTTCTGAGCTCTCAGCCAGGTCCATGGGGGGCGGGTCGGCCTGCCACGTCCACTCCCAGAGCAGTAGCACAGGGCAGACGGCTGTGAGCAGGGTCTCCTTGGCTGGGCAGGTGTCAGTTACCCACTGCTCCACGGTCCTGAGGGGCTGGCCAGTCCTGGGTGCAGGACACAGTACATCTCTGTGGGTCTCCTCACCCATCCATGTGTGACACGGACACTGTCATAGCTCATCCTTGTGCCTTGACTCACTGCCTGAGAGAGACTCTTCTACTTGTTGATGGCGGCCCTGCTGGGCTCCCAGGGGCTGCTCCTGGGGGAGGTCCACCTCTTCGGGGCTAAAGAGCATCTTCACCAGGTCATCCGCCTGCACTCTGTCCTGCAAGCACAAACCCCTGCCTATTCAGAGAGGCCTCCAGACCAGGTACTCTGTCTACCAGGTGGCTACTTCCTCGAGAACAGTAACGGCCTGGAGTCCACCTCCTTCTCAAAGCAGGCCTGCTCTCTGGGCAGACTGCTGAGGTGGGGCTCAAGGAGGGAATCAAGAACTCAGGACTGCTCCCCATCTCAGCACCCCAACCTACCTGGAGCCCCATTTACAGGTAAGGAAGAAGGCCTATGGAGGATAAGGCAGTGGCCCCAGGGGATACAGCTGGAGCTGGGAGTCTCTCTGGACTCCAGGTCCAGTGCTCCTTTCATGTCTAAGCCACCAGCACAAGGGTTCGGAGAAGGAGGAAGAGCGCAGGATGGGCCTTCCTGGAACAGATCACCCAGCCCACGACTCTCACCCGCTCACTGTGGCGAGGGTCCAAGGTGAACCACAGGGCGATGGCACAGCGCTGCCCCCTGGTGACAGCCTTCACTCCATGTGGGTTCTCAGTGCCTGAAGAGAATCCCACAGCCCGTCCACACTGGGGCTGCACCTCCGCCTAAGGGGGTGAAAAAAAAAAGGAAGGGTGTGGGGTGTGCACAGGACAAAGACTGTAACTGCCCTCAAAAGAGGTATGGGATCATTAGGGTCCAGAACTGGGGGGCCCTTCAGCTTGGCTTCCCAGAGCTAACGAGAAAGGGTGACTAGTCAGAGGAACAACTGACATATCTCAAAGCTCCTCTGGTCTTGGGGGGGGCGGAGGGTGGGCACCAGGAAGCCCAATTGCCCATTCTACCCCTGCACTGTGGGGACATCAGCCCTAGAACACAGGCTTTTGTCTCCAGGGCTGAGGACGAGGGGCACTCACCGTCACGGTCTTGGCATCTAGTTCAGTGAAGTAAAAGTTTCCTCCATCAAAGTCCCCATTTAGGTAAAGAATGGCACTGGGAACAGCAGAGAGCACCTCAGTATGGCCTGTCCTCCCCCCACTGCCCAGACGACTCCCAGAGTATGGCCTGTCCTCTCCCCACTGCCCAGACGACCCCCGGAGTATGGCCTGTCCTCT